GGGCTTAGTGGGGAGGGGATGAGCCTGTCCAGCAGGGGGCAGGATTAGTGGGTCACATGGCTGGGGGAGGGGCGCTAATGTGGGGTGAGCTCTATGGGGCACAGGAGGTAACTCAGCAACCAGGTCTCCTTGGGCACCGCTGAGGGTCAGCGTGAGCCCCCCGAGAGCTGGGGGGGACGGTGGGCAGGCATATGGGGGGAGGACGTGGGCCCTACCTCCATCGCTGTGGCTGCCCGGCTTCCATGGGGTTTCTGGTGCTGGGGGCACTGTGCTCTGCAGGGACCTGGCCCAAGCTGAGCCCGCCCCCCCGGGACACGCTCTCCTCCTCACCCCCAGCTGCGCTCTCTGTCCCCCCAGGCACCAACATGCTGATGGTCGGTGTGCACGGCCCCAAGACGCCGTGCGAGGAGGTGTACGTCAAGCACATGGGCAACCGGGTGTATAACGTCACCTACACTGTCAAGGAGAAGGGGGACTACGTCCTCATCCTCAAATGGGGCGACGAGGGCGTGCCGGGCAGCCCCTACCAGGTCACCGTGCCCTAGCCAGGAGCCAGCGCCGGGAGCTGCGGCGCCTCCCCTGGGCACGGCGAGGCGCCCACCCCCTTCCCCTCCTCTCTCTCTCACACTCACTCACACACACACACACGCTTTCCCCCCCCTCCCCCGGCCGGTGCCCCACGAACTCCGTCCCATCCACGGGTGAAGAGCCGTCAGCCACGGACTCCACTGTCCTGCCCGGCACCAAGGACTGTTCTTGTCCAACGGCACCCGCCAGCTGCCCACAATGCTCCTCTGCGAGGCTGCCCTCCAGCTGCCCACAATGCTTCTCTGCAGGGGCACCAGCCAGCGGCCCACAATACTTCTCTGCGGGGCCCTGTTAGGGGCATTGAACTGGGTGAAAGAAAGAGAGGAACTTTTTATAGTGGTTTTTCATCACTTCCTCTCTCGCTTTCCTCCAGTACTAGCCTAGCTGGAGGGGCAGAGGACATGGCCAGGGCACAGAGCGGGCACAGGCAGGGCAGAGGGCATGGCTAGGGTGCAGAGTGGGCACAAGCAGGGCAGAGGGCATGGCTAGGGTGCAGAGCGGGCACAGGCAGGGCAGAGGGCATGGTCAGGGTGCAGACTGGGCACAGTTGGGCACAGCTAGGGCACAAAAAGCGTGGAGGGCATGGCTGGGGTGCAGACCAGGCACAGATGGGGAGGAGGGCATGGCTGGGATGTAGGTGGGTGCAGGGCATGGCTGGGCACAGACTGGCAGAGAGCATGGCCCAGGGCATGACAGGGCAGATAAGGTTGTAGACAGGCTAGGTTTGAGCAGGAAAAGGGCCAGGGGCAGGAAGCCGCTTTCCAGGGTTGGGGCTCCCGGTTGTACGTGAGCAAGGGGTGAGCTGCTGTGGTGGTGGGGGAGGGAGAGGTCAGTGTGCACCCTAGGGCTCCTCTCCCCACTCTGAGCGAGAGGCTCAGCCCTGAGGACCGAGGGAGGTGCCTGGGAGGGGCTGGTTGGGGGGTGCCACCAAGGGACATGCCCGCCCAGCTCAGGGGGAGATTGAGGGGCCCCTGCTTCACAGGTGCTGAGAGGGGCTAGGCTGAGAGGGGCTAGGCCAGTGGGCAGGAAGTGTCTGGGGTCCGCTCCGCGAGCCCAGGGCAGCAGGCCGTGGAGCCGGTGCCAGGGAGGGGAAAACCAAGTGGGCTGTGATACCCACCACCCCCCAGGCCGGAGCCCACTGGCCCCATGCACACAGCCTGGAGAGCCAAGCCCTGGGGAAGTGGGGAGCTCCCAAGGGTGCTGGGGGCCTGGTAGGTGTCTGGTCATCCCCTGCCCTTGGCCAATGCCTGCTGTGCCCTTCTGCCCCTCCTTGGCCTCTGGCGCTGCCCACTGCCTCCCTGAGCTGCTCAGTGGCCGACTCGCTGTCTGGCTTCTGATGCTTTTTGAAAAAAACCACACCCTAAAAATACCCCCGCCCGGGTGCCCGGCCCCGGTGCGTGGTCTGTGAGTGCCTCTGGGTCTGTACGGGCGAGGGGAGCCCCTGGCGCTCCCGGCTTCGTTCTCTGCCGAGCGCCGGGGCCGGCCACCTGCCAGGGAAATAAAGTGACTTGCTAAGGTGCCCTGTGCTGCTGCCTGTGTGTCCTGCGCCGTGGGGCCACGATGGGGCGACAGGATAGGCCCCCGCCCCAGCCGCTCCCAGTAGCAGGGCTGCCTCCGTGGCCTGGGGACGTTGCTCCCCAGGGCCAGGCATTCCCAGCCCTATGCCAAGTCTTACCCACCCAGCGGGGCCCCGCATGCTCTGGCACCGACTGAGCTGGGGGGAGCTGAAGGGCAGGCGGAGCGGCTGGCCCCCTCCTGTGTAATGTTAGCCTCGGGCTGGTTCATCCCCTCCCTTCCCTGCCCCCCCCCCCCGATTCTCCATGAGTGGGGCTGGCTGGTGTCCCGGCGTCCCGGGGTGCTGCTCTGGGACTGCTCCCGACGAAGCCAGGCAGGACTCTGGGGGAGCCTCCTCTCTGGGAGCAGCCTGTCTGCAGGACACACAGCTCCCCGGCTCCACCTTCCTGGGTCTGACCTCGGAGCATTCAGCCTCCTCTGCCCTCCGTGCGCTTCCCCCAGCGAGTCCCCCAGGCGGGGTCCTGGGGGGGCCAGAGGGTCCTGCCCCCCGACTCCGTAGTCAGACGGGACTCTCAGCCAGCCAGTAACACAGAAGGTTTATTAGACGACAGGAACATGGTCTAACACAGAGCTTGTAGGTGCAGAGAACAGGACCCCTCAACTCGGTCCATTTTGGGGGGGAGTGAGCCAGACAACCCCGTCTGCACTTCACTCCTCGTCCCCAGCCAGCCCCCAACTGACTCCCCCTCCAGACACTCCTCCTCTGGGCTTTGTCCCTGTCCCGGGCCAGGAGGTCACCGGATTCCTTTGTTCTCCAACCCTTCAGCTCTCAGCTTGCACAGGGGAAGGCCCAGGCCATCAGGTGCCAGGAGACAGAGTGTCGGCCATTTATGTACCCTGGCCCTGTGCTCTGCAACAATTACCCCCCTTATCCCACCACCTAGAGACTTAAGTAATGCATAGGGGAAACTGAGACACCCCGACAGTATTCAGAGGAAACATTAGGAACAGTCCCATTTCGTCACAGCTTGGCGACTCCTGCCCCTGCTGCCAGCTGCACTGAGCCCCCCAAGGATGGGGCAGCCAGCCGTGCCTTGCCAGGGGATCCCGGTTTAGATCGGGAAGGCCGAGAGACTGTGGCACAAACAGCGGGTGCAACAGACACTGGTCAGGGCCAAAAAGTGGTGCCTTGCTCCTGGAGCTTGCTGGGGGTGGATCCCCCTAGATGGGGCCAGCAGCCGACCCCCATGGTGCCCCCTAATGTGGGGGCTGGGCATGGGCCCTAAACACAGGACCAGGCTACCCAGAACCCAAATTATGGTCTGGGCTACTCTGGATTAGCTGGGTCCCCCGCCCTGTGGAGCCAGAGCTGGTGACCCCCACCCCTCCAGGAGCTGGGGAACAGCCAGCGTGGTTGCCCCGTGGCTGGCACAGTTCAATGCAGTGTGGCCCAGCTGGCGAGGGGGGGGAGGGAAGAGCCAGGTGCCTCTGACCCGCCGCCCCCCCCTGAGGCTGGGGTCATGCACAGTGGCTGGGGGTTGAGCTGGGCTCCCTGGGCTGGCCCTGGCCTGCTGGCAGGTGGCTCCGTAGCGTGATGCCATCAGTGCAGGCCCAGGGTTCCCGCCTCCCGCTCCACGTGCTGCCGGAGTGGCTGCCACCCCGGGTAGGGCGGGTGCGCCAGACTCCCAGGCAGTGCTCTGCCCGGGGGTTTGCCAGTCGGGCCGCCCAGAGCAGAATGACGCCGCGGGGTCCAGAACCAGGCCCTGGCTCGGCAGCGAACAAAGGAGCCTCTGCAAACGTTCCCCAGGGCGGCTGAGCACCCACAAATCAACACCCCACGCACCATGGCGCACGAGGGCCTGGCCCTACACAAGCTCTGGGAGTGGACGGGTCAGAGCAGGGGGCTGGAGCCAGGACTCCTGGGTTCTATCCCTGGCTCTGGGAGGGGAGTGGGGTCAAGTGGTTAGAGCAGGGGGACTGGCAGCCAGGACTCCTGGGTTCTCTCCCAGCTCTGGGAGGGGAGTGGGGTCTGTCGTGGACCCACATGGTCAGCGCTGTGTCCCCAGTTTTGACTCAGTCTCTGGGAGGAGCCCTTCAGTGGGGCAGACTCCCAAGGGGGCTCACGGCCTCCAGGCTAATCCCCCCCATCTCAGTGTGCCCTGAGGCTGGGCCTGCAGCCCCCCAGGCTCCCCCCCCCATGAGCTCTGCTCAGGGCATCCCACCGCGGGGGAGCCGTGCAGGGCCTCTGGGGACTGGCCCCGCGCCCGGCATCTGCGGCACCGCTGCCCCGGCTGGCAGCACAGGTGGGTGTAGGCAGTAGCGGGCGCCCGCCCAGGAGGCCTCGGGCAGCCCAGAGCCCAGCCAGGCCAGGCCGCAGGGAGCCCCGGGGTCAGGCTCCCTCAGCCCATGGTCCGAATCCACCCACCCCTGCCCCCCGGGCCCTGTTCCCGCAGCTCCGGCCCTGCGGCCGGGCGGGGGGTTCGGCGCTCCGGGGGCACCGGGTGCTCGGGGGCATGCCCAGGGCCCAGGGCCCAGCCAGCTGGGGCCACCCCGGTGAGTCCTCCCGGCCCTGCCCCGCTTGGGAACAAAGCCGCACACCCGGGAAACTGAGGCACGGCCAAGCGCCAGAAGAAATACTACAAACAATTCCCACTTCGTCACATGGCCTGGGGGGGTAGAGTGGGGGAGGGGGCAGGACTCCTGGGTTCTCTCCGAGCTCGGGGGAGGGGGGGTCACAGCGCACAGGCGCAGGAGCCCGCGGGCCGCACGCAGCGCCCGCGCACGCGTGGAACCGCTCCGCCAGCCTCCCAGCGGTCGGCGCGCGATGCGCATGCTCCGAATGGCGGGGGGCGGGGGAGCCAGCCGCGCACGCGCAGGCGGGTGCTGCAGGGGCCGGCCGCGCCTGCGCCGTGCGCGCCGAGGGTCTCAGGGGCCGGCGGCGAGCGGCGGCGGAGTCGAGCCATGGCCGGGCGGGGGAAGCTGATCGCGGTGATGGGGGACGAGGACACGGTGACGGGCTTCCTGCTGGGCGGGGTGGGCGAGCTCAACAAGCACCGCAAGCCCAACTTCCTGGTGGTGGAGAAGGACACGAGCCTGACCGAGATCGAGGAGACCTTCCGGTGCGCGGCCGGGACCACCGCGGCGCGGGGGGGGGAGCCGGGCGGGACCACCGGGGCGCGGGGGGGAGCCGGGCGGGACCACCGGGGCGCGGGGGGGGGAGCCGGGCGGGACCACCGATGCGCGGGGGAGGGAGGGGAGCCGGGCGGGACCACCGGGGCGCGGGGGGGGGGAGCCGGGCGGGACCACCGAGGCGCGGGGGGGGGGGAGCCGGGCGGAACCACCGGGGCGCGGGGGGGGAGGGAGGGGAGCCGGGCGGGACCACCGAGGCGCGGGGGGGGGAGCCGGGCGGGACCACCGGGGCGCGGGGGGGAGGGGAGCCGGGCGGAACCACCGGGGCGCGGGGGGGGGAGGGAGGGGAGCCGGGCGGGACCACCGGGGCGCGGAGGGGGGGCAGCCAGGGGGTGCGGGGAGCTGACCCTGGAGCTGTGGGGGACCCAGGAGTCCGGCTTTGCTTATCCAGTGGAGGGTGCAGGTGCTGGTTCCCTGGGGGGTCTGCAGGTGATGGTTTGGGGGGGGCAGATGCTGGCTCGGGGGGGGGGTGTCAGTTCCCCCTGGTGCAGCCCCCCCCATTCCCGCTTCCCCCCCCCAGGAGCTTCCTGAGCCGCGAGGACATCGGCATCATCCTGATCAACCAGTTCATCGCGGAGCTGATCCGGCACGTGCTGGACGCGCACACCCGCTCGCTGCCCGCCGTGCTGGAGATCCCCTCCAAGGAGCACCCCTACGACGCCGCCAAGGACTCCATCCTGCGCCGCGCCAGGGGCATGTTCACCGCCGAGGACCTGCGCTAGGGGCTGCGCTGCCCGGCCTTGCCGGCCCCGGGCCCCGGCCGGCTCCCTCCCTCCCTCCGGCCTCGGGCCCGGTCGCCCCAGCGGGCCCCAGCTGAGCCCCGGGGGAGCGGCTGCTCCTGCCGTTCTTCGGGGGCACGGAACAGCATCTGCCCCTCCCCAGGGCTGAATTGCTGCAGCCCCCTGTGCTGGGGCGTCCGGGCCCAGACTGGCTCCCTGGGGGGGGGGGGGGGCGTGTTGGGCCTACGTGGCTGTCCTCCCCACCCTGCTCCTCTGACCCCCTCTGGGGCTCCAGGGGCCTCCCACCAGCTGTGGGGCTGAGGGCCACATGCACCCAATCCATGCTGCTGCCCCCGAACCCTCCCCGAGCCCCTGTGTGCTGGGGGCAGGGGCTGTGTGCCAGTTGGCATGGGGGGGCAGCAGCAAGGTGGGTGCCAGAGCTGGCCCATGCCCCTGGCTCGGCCGCACCCCTCTCGTTTCCCAGAGCCCCGGCTCCCCTTGTCCCTCCGTGTGCTGCCGGCGGATCCGCCTCGTGTATGTTCCTGTGACGGTTGAGCTGTTACATTAAAGCAGAGGAGCCCCCCTCCCCCCCCCGATTCCTGTGCTCTGTGCTGGGGCAGACGCCCTCCTGAGCCGGGCTGCGCCCCAAAGGCCCCGGTGTGGGCAGAGCACCAGCAGGGAGGGGGCTCAGCTGGAGGGCGAGGGGTTAAAACCGAGCCAGGCTGAGGAGCTGGCCTGTGCTGAGCTCCCTGCCTGTCCGGGACAGCTCCTGCCGGCCGGGGCCAGTCCCAACCCAGCTCCCGGTTCGCTGCACTGGCATTCTCCCGCCTGCCAGGAGCTCCCTGGTTAGGCCGGTCATTTGCCCGCAGTGGAGATGGGGGTGTGCGCGCAATCCTGACCTCCCCCCCACACACACACCTGCCCCCTCTCCTGCACCTGCCCTTGGCGGGGGCTGCGGGGAGGCTGGCAGCTCTCGGCAGTCACCAGCCTTCGCTCCCAGTGACGCTCTGCCAGCAGACCTCCTCCCCAGGCAGGCGCTGGCCTCTCCCCGGCGGGGGGGCTGCTTATGAGCCCGTCCCATGACCCCGAAAGGGGAAGTGGCTGCGACTCACCCGCATGCGGCTCTGAGGAGCCAGCAGCTGCTTTGTCCTCAGCACCAGCCCGAGGCCTGGTGGCCCTGACCTAGGCGGGCGGCATCCAGGCTGGCCTGGCTCCTGGCCCTGACCTAGGTGGGCGAAGGGACGTGCAGCGACCTGCACCCCTGCTGACCGCACTGCGCTCGCTGGCTGCTGCGCGTGGGGCTGCCACGGTCCCAGGGAAACCGGCTGCGGAGCCGCGGCTGGGCCGGTAGCTGACCAGCGGGTGATGCCCTCTGCCCTTCCAGCCTGGCCGTGCCGGTGGCACCAGCTAGTTCATGAACGCAGGCGCTGGGTGGGGAGTGCCAGTGGCTGGTGAATCTGCTGCTCCTGAACGGGAGGAGGGGCCGCTGAATATGGGTGCTGCTGTCTCCTTGCCCCCGGGCTCTCTCCCTCTCCCTCCCTTGGTGGCTGCTCCTCTCCCTGCCCTGGCTGCTTCCTGCCTCCTGGGTTCAGTTTCACCATGTCCCAGCTGGCTGCAATGCTGGGCAGAGCCCTGAAGGGAGGAGCTGGCCTGTGCCAGCTCCCTGCCCGCATGGGACAGCTCCAGCCGGCCGGGGCCGCTCCCAGCCTGGTTCTGGGCCTGCCCTCCTGCCTGGGGGCAGCTCTCTGTCCCCTGCCCAGACCTGGCTCTGCACAGAGCGTGACAGACCCAGGGGAACCCTGCTGCTGCCGGCAGGGCTGGGGCGGTGGAAGTGCTGAGCCGTGTGGGCCGGCTGCTGCTGCAGAGCGGAGGGAGAGCCGGGGAGCTGCTGGGACTCTTTAGCCAGGCCACTGTGCCCGGGGTGCTGGGAGCCGGCCAGGAGCTTCCACGGTCGGTGTTACAGGGTGCCCGCGTGGCAGGGGGGCGCTAGAGCGGCCTGGCCAGATGAGCCAGGAGGGCACTGAGCTGGGGCCAGCGTGGCCCGGGGGGACTGGCTCAGGGCCAATGAATTAACCATTGGCACAGCTCAGCAGGGCTGGGGGTGGCATGGTTGATACAGCGAGCTGGGCTGGGCTCTGGGCTGGGGTCAGGGAGATGATCACAAGGGGGGGGTCTCTGGGTCTGCCCTCAGGCGGGTCCTGCTAGGGAAGCCCAGTAGCCCACCCCCATTCCAGGGCCAGCTGAGGGTGCAGTGATGATGCCCCCCTGCTCCTCGCTCCCTGGGCAGGCCGAGCGGAGCCCAGGTGCTCTCTAGGGGGCATGCTCTGCCCTGGGGCATTGCCCACCAGCCAGGCTCTAGGGGCGTTGGGGCCTCGCCAGTTCCACGGCCTGGTGCTGGCAGCCCTGTCCCAGAGTTTGTCAACACAGAGCCTTCCCCAGCCCCCGAGGTGCCAGCCTGGGGCATGTGGCATGTGCTGCTCTGGGGGACATGATTTGAGCTTGTGTGTCAAGAGCCAGAGACGGCCCCTGAGCCCTGGGGAACCAGGGGCCGGGGAGCCTGTCTGCTCTGGCTCCCAGCCGCCCCCTCCCCACCCCATTCACTGCCCATCCTGTGGGGCATTCAGGTTAGGGGCTGTGCCCAGTCTATGAGCCTGAGGGGCACCCCAGGTGGGTGACCCCTCCTAGTGGGGCAAGAGCCCCCCTATCCAGCTGCTATCTGAACTGCATCACCCCGTGCTGCTCCCTCTGAGAGTGGCCTAAGCTTCCTGTATGCCACTGATCTGCCCCCTGCCTAGCTGGCAGTGCCTTTGGGGGACCCCCTGCCCTCTGCACAGCTTGCTTCCTTCCAGCCTCAGGCTGCCCCCAGCAGAACCTTGGATCCTGGCCCCAAATACCTGCAGCCAGGCACTGACCCTCCCAAGGTCAGTCTGGCAGAGCTGGGAACCCAGGAGTCTGGGCTGCTAGCGCCCACCCCAAGCACAGCACCTGCCCCCTGGAGCTGGCATCAGCTGACGGGTGCCATCTGCTCTGGATCCCTCTGCAAGTCCTTGGGGGGGGCAGGGGGTATTCTAACAGCCAGAAATACGGGCCCAGGTTTAATCCATTGGGGCTTGTAGCCTCTCGCCCCCCCGCTCCCAGTCCCCTGACTGCCCTGACCCTTATCCACCCCTCCCCGACAGCCCCCCAGGGACTCCCACGCCTTATCCAACCCCCCCCTGTGCCCTGACTGCCCCAGAACCTCCACCCTATCCAACCACTCCCTGTCTCCTGACTGCCCCCCAGGGCCCCCTGCCCAACCCCCCCACGGCCACCCCCTTACCATGCCCCTCAGAGCAGCAGGAGCTCGCAGCCCCTGGGAAGGGGCTGGGCTTTGTACCAGGCCACTGCAGAGCTCATGGGGGACACAACGGAGAGTATCAATTCAGGACCAATGGCTTAGAGCAGGGCAGTCACAGCCCAGAGCTCAGTGTCCTTTATTACTAAGGCGCCAAGCCGGCCCGACTTCGGTCTCACCCCACTGGCTAACCACAAGTCACACAAGCAATTCCCTCAGACACACCAATGTCCCCACCAGCGCCGCATGTTATGGGGGCGAATGGTTATGGAAACCAACACCCCAGTGACAGAAGAAGGTTCTCTCGATCCCGAAGGAGCAAGCCCCAGACCCAGATCAAATAGTAACTTAGATCTTACCCAAAATACACGCTTACAGCCAATTCTTATTAAGTCAACTAAAATGTATTTAAAAAGAAAAGAGAGAGTTGGTTGAAAGATCAAGATACAGACAGACTTGGGTTCAATTTCTTGAGGTCCAGATACAGAGCAGAGATGGGGAGTTTGTAGTTGCCAAAAGTCCTTTTAGAAATAGGCCAGAGGCTATACCCCAATGTCCATATTCAGGGTGACTCTGGTCAGTGACTGGGGATCTCCATCCTTATGGCTCAGGGTTTCCCCCTCCTGAACCCAAAGCAGATCTGAGATGAAGAAGGATCCTGTCCCAGGGTTTTTATACATTTCCTGCAGCCTCTTGGCCTGAGAAAACAATACGCTTAACTCCCAAACATCCTGGCAATTAGCACAGGGTCATTTATCCATTAACCCAGTGGTGAGCAAACTATGGCCCGTGGGCCACATCCGGCCCACAGGACCATCCTGCCCGGCCCTTGAGCTCCTGCCCCTCCACCGCTGTCCCCCCTTTTGCGAGCTCCTGCCGCTCTGAACGGCATGGTAAGGGGGTGGCCGTGGGGGGGTTGGGCAAGGGGCCCTGGGGGGGAGTCAGGGGACAGGGAGCGGTTGGATGGGGTGGAGGTTCTGGGGTGGTCGGGGCACAGGGGGGTTGGATAAGGCGTGGGAGTCCCTGGGGGGCTGTCGGGGAGGGGTGGATAAGGGTCGGGGCAGTCAGGGGACTGGGAGCAGGGGGATTGGATAGGGGGTGGGATCCCGGGGGGGGGGGGCGGTTTGGGGTGGGGTCTGGCCCTGGGTCAGGCTGGGAGGTAATTAACTCTTTCTGGCCCTGTCACCTTTCAATGAGACGTTATATTACACTCATAATGTCACCGGGGGGGGGGGGGTGACTCCCAGAGCATCCCCCCCCTTTCCCATCAGCACCAGTACAGCCTTGGCCCATCTGATCCTTGGGGCAGCTGGTCTCCCCCCACACACACACACTCACCGAGGTGCCACGGGGGCAGCCAGCATGTGAGTGCGATGCCCAGGCTCAGTGCCCCCTGGGCTGGCCAGCAGGGGCCGCGGGCAGCCGCTGCTGATGGAGGGCACCGCTGGGGGGCTGCTCCGGGTGAGATTCAGACGTCCCTGCCCTGGAGCCATTGCTGGGGCCCCGGAGCAGGGCAGCAGCCGGGTCCGTGCCAGGCAGCCCCTTGCCCCCTGGCCTCTGTGAGCTCAGGGGTGTGATGCGGCTGCCATGGCAACACAGCTGACAATGGTACCAGCAGGGACGGGACCCGAGCCCCGGACTTGTGCCCACAGGGTACCCGGTGCAGGAGGCCCTCGGGGCGCAGCTCAGCCTTGCCACAGGGGGGCCCCCGCAGCTCTCTCGGGGGGGGCGTCTGAGCGCAGGGCGCCCGGGGGCGGCCGGCGGGAGCCAGCATGGCGCGCCCGCTGAGCATGGACGCGCAGCAGCAGGAGTTCTGGAAGGAGCAGTACCTCCAGGAGCTGCGGCTCCGCTTCCGCTGGCGCCAGCGGTTCGGGGCGTCCGTCAAGGCCAAGCAGGAGCAGCGGCGCCGGGCCACCCGGGAGCCGCTCAAGCTGCCCGCCCTCCGGTCTCCGGCGCCCGTGGCCCAGGCCCAGCGGCCGCCCCAGGCGCCCGCCGGGGCCGCCCCGGGCATCCCGGAGGGGGAGATGAAGCCCGTGGCGCCGGAGGTGCGGAAGCTGCTGTACCAGGGCATCTCCCAGGACGGCGAGGGCCGGCGGCGGTACCTGCGGCTCCGCACGACCCGCGGGCCCGAGGAGAAGTACTACACCCCCGTCACCACCAACTTCATCTACGGCTGGCAGATGGGTGAGCCGGGGCAGCGGGTGCTGGGGGGCAGAGCCCTGCCCCCGCATCCCGCCTGTGCCCGCAGGGCCGTCTCGCCCCATAGCCCGGGGCTGCACTGGTGGGGGGGGGGTTCCGCGGGGTGGCGCTCTCCCCTCGGGGCAGTGCCTCCGGAACGGCTCCATGACGCTGGCTGTGACCTCGCGGCGGGCTGGGCCAATCAGCACAGCCGGCCTGAGCTCGTTTGCGTACAGCAAATCTCTTGCGGCTGGCGCTGTGGGCTGGGGGTTCCCCAGCCCCTTCCCCCACGGTGTCGGGGCACCTGGCTGGCACAGGTTGGGTTTGTGCTAATGACCTGGGGGTGGGGGCAGCCCTGCCCTCTGCTGGATGGGATGAGATCTCGTCTGCTGTGTGTCATAGGCCCTATAGTGCTGGGGTGTGATGGAGATTCCCCTCTGGCTCAAGAGGCAGGGCCGTGGTTCTTGGCCAGGAGGCTCTAGTGCTGAGGGGGCCTGGCCTGCGGCCCAGCACCAGCTGTGACAACCCCCCGAGCAAAGCCCACCAGGCTCTCAGCATTTTGCAGCTGCAGCCAGGTGCCACGTGGGCTCTGGAACTGCGATGACAGTCGCCATGTCCCCTCAGCCTTCACATGCTCTGGGCCCGCCTCCCGGGGGTGGGAGGGCTCCCAGCCAGACTGGCCCAACAGCTTCCCCAGCTGCCCCCCAAGCCAACTCCTCTGCCCACGGTGGCCTCATGCCCCAGCCCTTCACCCCTGCCAACTGGAGCACCAGCTGCCGGCTAATAGCCCAGCGAGCGGCTCTGCCCGGCGGGGGGGGGGGCGCCAGGGCTTGGGGTTAAAGCCGGGGTCCCCTCTTGGCTCACTGGGCATGCAGTGGGGGCGCTCTGGGGTCACCCCTGTGCCAGGGGACACTCACCAAGCAAGATCGTGGGAGCCCAGTGCTGCCGGGGGGGAAAGTTGGCAATGAGTCAACTCGGGGGTGGGGGGGTCTGGGGTTCTGGTCTGTCACCCCCCAGCTCATTGCCCCCCCAGCTCACCGCCCTTCCCTTGTGTCTCTGCCCAGGGAAAGTCACCAACGTCTACGTGCCCCCGTCGCCCAAGTGCCGCATCGAGAGCTTCTTCCGCAAGAATGGGGTCTTCTCGCTGCTGGACCCACGCGATGTGGCCTTGTGAGAGCCCGACCCCCCTACCCCGCCATGGGGCTCTGGGCCTGGGACTGGGCCAGTCCCCCCACCCCTGGATCACGCTGGCTGCTTGGGACGCTGGACTCTCCTAACACGACCGCCTGGTGCTGCCCTGCTGGCTCTGTGCATCCTTCACCCACCCGGCCGGGCACTAACCAAATGTAGGGCCCGGGGGCCTCCCCTTTAACCGCCTCTGTGCAAAGCGGCATGCCAAGGCAGCTGGCCCTGGCACCCGGCTCTGGCAGAGCCTGACCCCAACCTGGCCAGTGCCCAGCCTGTGGCTGCCAGGGCCCCTCCAAGCAGGGTCAAGGCTCTGGGAGTGGCAGCCGGTGAGGGTCAGGCTGGGCACCAAGCCCTGCGGCGAGTCCAGGGTGGGCACAGGCAACCAGCAGGGCCTGGCACGTCCTTCATGGTAACAGCCCCGGGGCCGTGCCAAGGTGAAGGGTGGATGACTTTATTGTAGGCTGTGCCAGGCTGGGCCGCACGTGGGCAGAGCCATTACACAGTCCTGCGGGCTCCTCTCCAAGGCCCCTGGCAGCGCCAGGGGGCTCCCCTGCCTAGCCAGTGTCTCCATCCACTGGGGATCTCTGGTGGCTGCCCACTGTCCTCACCGGCAGTCCCTCGCCCTCTTGGTGGGGACCCCCCCAGAGAGCCACCATGGGGGGAAGGAGGGCCTGAGCCCCACAGCACCCCTGAGCCTCCTATCCAGCCCCTGGGAATGGCCCCTGAGCTGCGGCTCCTGTCCTTCCCTGTGCCCCAGCCCCACAGCGCCCCCCCCCCACGCTCCAGGATCTCCAGCCCCACAGCACCCCCCACGCTCCGGGATCTCCAGCCCCACAGCTCCGAGCCGTGGTGAGCATGGGGGGAGCCGAGAAGGATGGGGCCAGCCCTGCACACAGCCGGCCGTGGTGTCTGCCCCACCTCAGTCAAAGCCCGGGGTGGCTGGGCAGCAGGCTGTGGGGTGGCTCTGGCTCCCTGGACTCCCTAGGCGCTCAGGGCTCCAGCCCCGCTCTCAGGGGGGGCCCGACAGGACCCTGGGGGCAGTGTGACACCCCTCAGGGCGCACTCTCACCAGGGCAATCCCCCTTGGGTACAGCGTCTCCTGGGTCTGACCTCGGAGCGTTCGGCCCCCCCCATCCATGCTCCCCACAGTGAGTCCCCCTGGCTGGGACACCTGGGGAAACCTCACACACCCCCAATGGGGCCACGTACCCCAACTCCGCAGCCAGCAGGGACTCAGCCAGCGTGGGACACAAGAGGTTTATTAGTGGTCGGGAACACAGCGGAGAACAGAGCTTGTTAGCACAGAAAGCAGGAACCTTCAGCAAAGTCCATCTGTGGGGGCCAGAGCCCTGGACTGTCCCCCGAGTCCCAAACCTGGAGAGTGTCCTGCGGCCAACAGCCCACCCCCCACCCCCAGTCATGCCCAGTTGCCCCTCCTCTGTCCTTTGTTGTCTTGCCGGCAAAATCGGTCACAACGTCTGACCAGGCAGCCCGAGATGCTCGCACCTGAGTCCCCCCACCTAGTTAATCATGCTGCACACATGGAGAAACTGAGGCACACAAACTATTCATACAACACATTACGCAAATCCCCCACTTCATCACAGGCTGTGTGCCGGCGGCCCCCTGACGGCTGGGCAATGCCGGGCTGGGAGCGAGGGGAGGGGGCTGCCCATCCCTGCATGCCCACCCATATTCAGGCCTTCCCAGCCGGGCTCAGGTCGCTGCCTTCCTCACCCGGTGCCACCAGCGGCTCCAAGAGCTCCTGGAAACTCAGCGTGTTCCTGTGGAGAGACCAGCATGGGTCAGCGTGGGGCCAGAGAGCCTGGCCCGACTTGGGCCAGTACGGGGGAGGGGCTGCCAGCCCTGGGCCAGCACGGGGGATGGGCGGCCAGCCCTGGGGCAGCACAGGAGAGGGGCGGCCAGCCCTGGGGGAGCAGGGTAATGGTGGGGTTGTGACTGGACAGTCTGGGCCAGAGTTGGGGCAAGCGAGGGGGGGCACGAATGAGCCTGGGGGGAGGCAGGCAGGACAGCCAGCACAGGGGTGGGATGACCCAGGCCAGAGCTGGGGGTCTTGGCCCCACACGCCCTGCTGCTCTGCTCGACCCCCTCCCGCAAGCCGCACTCCCCTCCGACCCCCTCCTGCCCAGGCCACCCCTGCCCCCAGGCAGAGATGCGGGGGGCAGGTGAGGGAATGGCAGGGACCCCAGCCCTGCTTCAGAGCAGCCAGTGGGCTGGAGCGAGAGACGAGACTCCAGGGCACCCCAGCGGCTCCCCGGCCCCATGCTGCAGGACTGCTCCTCTGCCCCCCCCCGCCCCCCCAGCCATGCCGCTCCCCACGGGCACCTGCCTGTGGCCCCTGGCCTGCATGCCGTGCGTCCGCGCCCGCTTCACCTGCTCCAGGTGCTGCTTCAGAGCCTCCCTCTGCTGTGCCCGGGCCTCCTGCCAGGGGGACGGGCCAGGCTGAGCCAACGCTGCCCCACCCAGCCTGCCCCCCCGGGCACAGCCAGCCGCCTGGGGACTTCTGCCCTGGCCGGCCAAGAGCCTCGAGCGTGGAGGAGCGGCGCCCCAGAGAGAGCGGGGCAGGGGGGCAGGCCACCTCCCTGAGCCCCAGGCAGCCCTCTGCCCCATCTAGGGAGATGCCAACAGGGTCTTGCCATCTGCCACTGCTGGTGCATCTGTGCCCTGACCCCCAGGGACACTGCCCCCCCGGCCCTCCTATTGCCCCCACGCTGGGCTGGATCCCACCCCCCCATCCCCCTTGGGGCAACTGCTTCCTACTGCCCCCATGCTGGGCTGGCTCCCCCCCCCCCCGGGGTGATCATCTCCCCCCAGCCCCACACTGGGCTGGATCCCACCCCCCACCCTCTGGGGTGATCGCCACCCCACACCAGGCTGGACCCCCCCCCTTGGGCAGCAGAAGGGCCCTTGCCTGCAGCTGAGGCTCCGCAGCAGGCTGGGGTCTCCCCAGAAGATTCTCCACCGACCTGTGCCTGGCGATGGACAGTCGCTCCTGGAACTGGGGGGAGACGGGGTGGGGGCTTGAACCCGAACCTGAGAGAGCCCGGGGAGGGGGCAGCTGGGCAAGGAGTGGCCCCTTCTCCAGGTGCACAGAGCAGCTGTGCCAGCCCTGCCCGGGGAGCTCCTGGGGCCTGGCACTGCCAGGGCAGGGGAACGGAGCCTCCACGGGGCTGGAGAGAGTGCCCAGAGTGGGACCCAGCCACCCCCCAGCTCCGCACAGGCCAGGGCAGAGGGTGCAGTGCCCCGTGGGGTGCCAGCCTGCCCCGGAGTTGCACCCCCTGCCTGGCCCGATCTTTGCCCCTAGGATCCTGTCCCACCTCCCGGGCAGCGCCAGGGGGCAGCCGGGCCCTGGGGCACTTAGGTGGGCACTCTGGTCCCCACGCCGCAGGGGCCGGGCCCAGAACAGTGACACTCCCCAGCCTCGCCCCTGGGGGCGCCCTGGGCAGGACAACCCCTGCCCCCACAGCAGGGCCCGTGTGCGGGGCGAGTCCGGGCAGCCCCCCGCCTCACCCGCAGCAGCTGCCGCTCCTTGTCACGCCGGTGCTTGTGCCCCCCCTCCAGCTGCAGCTCCGCCAGCCTGCGCACGGCCTCCTGCTGCTCCCTCCGGGAGGGGCAGATAAAGGCCTTCTCCCGGCGCAGGGGGCTGCCCCGCAGCTGGCCGCATGGGGCGGGTAGGCCGGGCTGCAATGGCACCAGAAGCGTTAGGGACGGGGGTGCCAGGGGGCCGGGCAGCTGAGCGAGACACCCCTCCCCCTACATGTGCCTCTCCCCGCAGCGGGTGACCCCTGAGCGCGGCCCACCCCCCAAGCCCCTGGGTTTCCCAGGCCGCAGCACCCCCACCGCACAAGGGCCCCATCCTGGCCCATGGGTCGGTGCAGACGGCCCCGTGACGGGCACCACGCTAACCCCGCAGTGCCTGGGCCAGGGAAGATGGGCATTCGGGCCGGCACCAAGCCATGGTCCAGCTGTGACTCTATGGGGCTGGGACGCGGCTAGCGGGCATAGGATGGGCCCATGCCAGGGTCGGCTTGGGGGGGGCAGCTGGACCCGGCCCGCTCTGAGCTCAGCGCAGCTCCCTGGGGGCTGGGCCAAATTGGCTCCCTGGGGGCTGGGCCAAACCCCTCCCAGCTGGCAGTGCCCGAGCTGGTGGGGGGGTGCCTGTGTACCCCTCTTGTCTCCAGGGCAGGCTCCGGTGGCAGCTTCCCGCACTCGGCGCTCCTTGCGTGAGCTGCTTGGGAGCTGGTCTCCTCCCTTCGGGTTGGGGGGCTCCAGGCAGGGGGCTGCAGGGCTGCGGCGCTTTGGGGAACACCAGATCCCTGAGCAGCTTTCCCATCCCAGCCACCAACCCCTGCCCCCGGGCATGGGGGCCCCCCCGTCCCATGGCACTGGTCACACCTCCTCCCTCACCAGGCATGGAGCCCCTGCCCATGGCACTGGCCACACCTCCTCTGCACCATGGGCCACGCCCCCTCCCCCACCAGGCATGGGAGCCCCCAGCCCATGGCACAGGCCACACCCCCTCTGCACCCTGGGCCCCACCTCCATCCCCTGCCTCAGGGCTTCCCTCCCCACTGCCCCTCCTTACCCAGCATGGCCCCATGGCTTGTTCTCCACGCTTGCTGTGCTGGTCCGCCCAGCCAGGGCTCGCCCCACAGCCTCCAGTACCGAGGACTGCCTGATCCCACTTCAGGGCCTCCCCAGGGCTCTGGCCTGGATGCCCAGGGCTGGGTGGGGAAGGCCCAGTGGCTTCCGCTGGCTCCAGGAGCTGATGGGCCTGCTGCCCCCACTGGACAGCACCCTGGGCCGGCAGCACCTCCCCAGCCAGCTGCAGGGACACCCAGAGCTCCTCAGTCTCCGGCTCCCGCTGCAGGGACACCTGGGGCTCCAGGGCCTCTGGCTCCCACTGCAGGGACACTCGGGGCTCCAGGGCCTCTGGCTCCCACTGCAGGGACTCCTGGGGCTCCTCAGCCTCCGGCTCCCGCTGCAGGGACTCCTGGGGCTCCTCAGTCTCTGGCTCCTGCTGCAGGGACACCCGGGGCTCCTCAGTCTCTGCCTCCCGCTGCAGGGACTTCTGTGGCTCCTCAGCCTCTGGCTCCCGCTGCAGGGATACCCGAGGCTCCTCAGTCTCTGGCTCTTGTTGCATGGACACCCGGGGATCCTCAGTCTCTGCCTCCCGCTGCAGGGACTCCCGAGGCTCCTCAGTCTCCAGCTCCCGCTGCAGGGACACCTGGGGCTCCTCAGTCTCCAGCTCCCTCTGCAGGGACACCTGGAGTTCCTCAGTCTCTGGCTCCTGGGGCTCCAGGGGCTCCAGGGCCTCTTGCTCCCGGTGCTGAGCAGGCTCCACCTCCAGTAGCAGAGCTCTCCAAGGCTGGGCCACCTCTGGTCCTATCAGTGCCTGGGGCAGAAGAACCTGGGGACCCCCAAGTTCCCGGGGCCCAAGAGCCTCCCTCAGCAGTGCTCCCTGGGGCTGACAGGCCCCTGGCCCCCATCCCTTGAGCTGAGGGACCTGGGGAGCCTCTTCTCCCTTCAGCTCCTGGAGCTCTGGACTTTCCCGGGGCTGGAGTGGCCCCAGTGGAGTTTTGTGGAGCTGTGGGATCTGTGGCCCCCCCAGCCCCCGAGGCTGGTTCACTTTGGGGTCCCCCTGCAGGTGCCCCTGGGCCCAGAACGGCCCCAGCTCCAGCGGGGTGGCCTCCCCTGGCAGCGCTGGCTGGAGCCGAGGAGCTGGAAGCTCCTCCCCGTGCAGCATCCCCTGGGCCCGGATGCTCCCTGGCCCCAGAACTGGGGCTGGTCTCAGCTCCCTCAGT